AGTGTGTGCGTGTGTGTGTGCGTGCCTGTGTGTGTGTGTATCTAGTTTGTTGTAGCTCAACTCAGTTGTGGCTGCTGGGCTTAATGATTACAAACTGGCGTCCGACGGTGACTAAAAACAGAGCCAAAATGCGATGCCGTTAAACTGTTAACGGCTGCTCTCTATGACAGATACACACACAGAGTAAGGGGCCGGCGAAGGGGGCGTGGCATCTGGCCAAAACTCGCAGCACCTGGCCCCCCGGAACATTAAAGCCTTTTTCTGGTTCAATGGTGTGCAGAAAATGGGTCACTAACTGTTACTTATTTATACTAATCAGAGCAAATTGCCGACGAGCATCAGTATATGAGGGCGTGGCACAGTAGGGTGGGGGGGGCGGATTTTGAAGGGGGGGGGGGGGACGTGCCGGCATTTCGCTTTTATCTCTGCTCTGGCTTAAGTGTTATTAAAAACTTTGTTGAGGTACCTAAATTTAGACGCAGCAAAGTTGCACAGCGACAGAGGGGGAGGCAGAGGGAGAGAGGGAGAGAGGCAGAGGCAGAGAGTAGCTCTTGGCCTGGTCGACAGCCAGCACTTGGCCAACACTTGGGTGCTGCTGCTGCTGCTTCTTCTGGGAGTGCTCATTATGCAGCTGTTGCTCCACTTGAATCGACTTGGCCCGGCGATTTGTTTTTGGCCAAGTTGAATTGACGCAGCGCGCGGCTAATATGGCCCGCTATTTGGCTAATTGGAGTGCAATTGTTTTAATTAAATTTGCTGCGAATGTGGCCATAGATCGGCAGATGCCAGCGATGCCATCAAATGGACAAACACACAACCCATTTAATCGTATTGCGAGGACAAACAGATGGCCGCAAACGGGCGTGCACGACCTGCAGATACCCTAAGCACAAGCAATGAGCCAAATTTGATGAATTGCCATTTTACGAGAATCTACATACCACATTTGATGAGAGCTGGATTCACATATGTATATATATATATTCCCGTCTGTGACAAACATTGCCTATAAGTCAGCATACCCGCTCTGCTGCCAACCTTTTGTTGAGGGCATGCGAGAAAAAGGTTACGAAAGGGAAATTTGTGGCTTTGACTTTGCGGTCCGCAGATCTAATAAATTTGATTGCAAACTGAAGCGTAAAGGCCAACAACACGGGCAAGAAAAGGTCAGCAAAATGTGGGGGCTGCCAGCTAAAACGGGGCGTGGCCAGCATGGAAATGAATGCTAGAAGTTAATCGGGCGCACAATCCAGTTGCAGCTGCAAGTTGTTAACAATTTGCCACGACAACAGACTCCGTGCGGCTTGTGCTTTGCACGTGCCGGCAGCTCAGTTCACGGCACAACGGAATGACGACATCGATTGTCAACATCTGCGGCTGGCTGTGCCACAAATTAAACACAAACACCAGCCAGGGCTGAGGCTGATGCGGAGGCTGAGGCAGAGGCTGAGGCAGAGGCAAAGGCAGCGGCACGTACCGAGAAGACATTCTCATTTTGTGTCTCTTGGTCCAAGCGAGAAGCTTGCAAACCATCATCAACGTCATCATCATCATCATCATCATCATCATCATCATCATCATCATCATCGTTGTCATCATTGTCATCATTGTCATCATTGTCATCATGGTCATAATACTCATCGCTCGACATGTGCCCTTTGCTGATGCCACACGTAACCCAAAAGCCAGCGAACAGCTCGACAAACCGCAACTTCTTCTCAACACTGGCTCAATTGGCCAGTCTGTCTGTCTCTGTGTGTGTGTGTGTGTGTGTGTGTGTGTGTGTGTGTGTGTATGTGTGTGTATTTGTCCGCCATGTAGGTTAATCGCATACACAAACCAATGTGAGTGCGCCGAGTTTTTATGCCAAACATTGCACTTTCCCACAATTTTGGCCCATTTATATGGCGCATGTGTGTGTGTGTGTGTGTGTGTGTGTGTAACTTGCAATTTTGGCAACTCATGTGTGTATGCTGAGTGTGTGTGTGTGTGTGTATTTGTGTCAAGTGCAATAAAAATTGACCATCACTTTGTGCGAAGAAAAAAAAACAGAATTCGAAACTTGAAATAAATGTAAATATGAAGCTCGACGAAAGCTGCCTGACATGACACTCATAATCATGGCATGCATGACAACATGCGCATGTAATTGCATATGTGTGCGTGCATGTGTGTGTTTTTTTTTGTAATTTTGGCAACTCATGCGTGTTTTCTGAGTGTGTGAGTGTGTGTGTGTGTGTGTGTGTGTGTGTGTGTGTGTATGTGTGTATTTGTGTCAAGTACAATAAAAATTCAACGGAGCTTGGCAACACTTGAATTACTCGAAATAAATTTGATTAATTGAAATAAATGTAAACATGCTGCATGACAAATGCTGCATGACATGATACTCATAAATTTGCATGCATTTATCAAAGTAAACAGCTCGAGTGTGCACACACACACACACGCACATATATAAGCAATGCACATGTGGTTGTGCGTGTGCGTGTGTGTGTGTGTGTGTGTGTGTGTGTACTTGATGTAACAGAAACTGCGTTAAAAATTGCATTTTATAACATTGCAAAGGACGCAGTGAAGCGAATACAGAAAGAAAATGTTCTACTTTTGGTTGGGCGACGAGTAAATACCCTAAGGACAATTTTTCCATGTATAAGATATATGATATACTGGTCTTAGATGTTCCTTAAGCTGTCAAGCTATGAAATATGGTAGTAGGTTTTTTTCTTAAACAAGAATTCTATTTTCGGTTCACAGTTCTTAAATTTAGACGAATGTAAAAAAGCTATATGATATAGTAGACCAATCTGATCAAGTCCGACTTGTAAGCTATCTGCAACAAAAATATGCATCTAGACCAAATTTCGTTAAGTCTCAGAGACTAGTCTGTTATAGTAGGCCTATGTAGCTCATGCGAATCAGGTATATATATGCTCTATAAGGTCGAAAATGATAATATAATTATCATACCCTCAGCATGCTTATGTTGCAAATTTTCAGCTAGCTAATTATTTCTTGGAAGTGTGTGCATGGCAAATGATCTGAGAGAGAAAACGGAAAAGCCATACAAAGGCATAAATCAGTTGCGGGCGAATGCCAAGAAAACCTTCTACAAAGCTGAAGAAATAAACGAATATTTATCTAAATGTGTGTGTGTGTGTGTGTGTGTGTGTGTGTGTGTGTGTGTGTGTGTGTGTGTGTGTGTGTGTGTGTGGGTGTATGTGTGTATTTGGTAGACAATAATTACAATTCATCATAATTTGTGTGTGGCATTCATTTATTCATGGATTCCATTTTCTATTTACATGGGTATTAAGCGGAAAATTCATTAGCTTACTTCAAAGATTGTAAGATGTTCGTGTTGTTGTTGGTTTAGAATTTTCCATCATTTTCCGGGGGCGAAATTGCGAAAATTTCAATTTAAATGAAAAACCTGCATTGTCAAAGAAATGCGTAGCAGCCCGAGTGCGTCGACTCGCCTTTGTTGAAGTTAAATGGCAAATATCTGACGGATAAATTGAGCTTATTTATCAAAGTTTTAATTAAAAACTTTATAGCAGCAGTCTCTAAATTGCTAAGTGTGTAATTACAACTGCCACGACAGCAACAACAAATATCTGCACACCTCAAGGCAGCAGTTGAAGACGAACGAGAGCTGCAGCATACCTGAATGTGATCAGCTTACGAAACGGAAGCGGAAGCAGTTCCCTGCGCCCTAATGTATGCAACAAATGAAATTCACACAAAATTGAATTAGACTTAATAAACCAGAATACGAAAGCACCAGCTGGAGGCAGCTGGCTGTATGGATGTATGATGCCTTTGCACGCTTCTCTCTGCTGTAAGTATCATAAAAGTGGACCAAACAAAATTCAGAGAAATATCTAACATTTGGCTATCTAGTTATTTGATTTATTCATAATAACATTTTTTGAATATTCATAGAATTTCGGCAATTTTATTTACTTCAGCATTCTTTTGCTTACATAAAATGAAATGCCGGCTTTCACATGAGGTAAAGACTCAGCAGAAGCAGCAACAGATCAACAGTAATACAGGAATATTAGCAGACTAACATAAGAGCAGCAGCAGCAGTTTAACAGAAGTATAACAGCAGAGCAACAACAGTCTATCAACAGAATAACAATATACTTACAGAAGAGCAGAGGCAGTATAATAGCATAAGAAGAGAAGACTGCAGAATAACAGTATGCTAACAGAGGAGCTGAATAACATAAGTATAAGAGCACAATAACAGCAGTATAACAGCAGACGAAGAAAAGAGCAGGAGATCAGTAGACAAACAGGTAGTATAGAAAGAATCGTTAAGTAGAGCAGTCGCCGCGTTAAATCGTGTTAAATAGAGTGTACAAAATATGCATTGCCTATATCATTTGTTGGCTTTTGAATAAGTATTTAATATACTGCTACGACTTGAAAACCTGCCATAATTCATGTCTTTAAACAAAATTCGTATGCTAGTCTTGACAAACACTGCAGAATTTAATGGCTTAAGTGTGGCCAGCTCATTGAATAGATAAGCATTATTTATGCACTGAGATACAATGTATCAATCTAAGTTTTGTCGCTTGGTGCTTTATTCTAAAGTTAAATAAATACCAAAAAATCAAAATAACGGAGAAAATGCCGAATTTTTGCAGCGGAATTGCCAGGCACTGGCCCATTAAACAGACAAAAGTCGCAAATAAATATAAAAATGGCGCTGCAAGACGAAGTACTACTAGACGTAATAGAGAAGCGCACAAAAAATTCATAAAGCGCGCAGCGCGCTTTACGCGTGACTGAATTTAACGGTGCTCTGCGGAGGCAGCAACAAAAAAGGAACAGCCAACAAACACGCCCCCAAACCCAGTAAGAAAAAAAGTACAACGAACAAAAAGAACAAAAAAGAAATGGCAAGAAAATCACAAACAACATTCCAATCATTACAAAGGCCACGCACAGCAACAACGCAGACGTTGGACGGATAAGATGAGACCAGTTACAAAAACAGCAACAGCAACAGAAACGGGAACAGTTACAGAAACGGGAACAGTTAAAGAAATGGGAACGGGAACGGAAAGCGAAGAGCGCAACCAGCGTCAAAATTAACGAAATTGGAAAAGTTCTTTTGAATCCTTCACTTTTCGGCACACAAAAGTAAGCACGCTCTTAACTATACAAGATTATAATATATATATATATAATATTTATGAAATATCTATTGATTTCGCCATCAGTTGGATTGCATTAAGGGTACTCACGGCATTCGTTGGAAATGGCAATCTGTATGCCATATATGGAAATGAACAAGTTCTTCGGAATAACTTCAGTTTTCGGAACACAAAGGGATTATTTCCGGGGAAATGTTCAGGTAAGTGAGCTTTTATTTATTAAAGATTTGGATATTGCCTGCACTTGGATGGCCATAAATCTCATATAATAAGCTTTGCTTGGGGATAATCACAATCTCTTCAGCTTATCAAGTAGAAAATGAAGAGGAAAATTATTAAATAGGCAATATATGCATATTTATTGACAATTAGAATCGCCTTGGCCAAAATGCATATTCCTGGACTTGGAATACAAAATGAAAGTTCCTTCGGACTCAATTTGAATATTCTTGGCATAAATCTAGTTTAGGATATTAGCATGGACCTCAATTTCATTTGATTATTGAACTAAGAACATTTTCTTTTGAAAATTTTCTGCAAATATTCAAGTGTGCGTTCCTCTAGCTAATAATATTATTAAGAACTTGAAGGACATGCTATATATATCACAGATAATACCTCAGTTGGGCTTTGTGCGATTATAAATGCAAGCAAATACCCTGTAAATGCATGATACACAAGAGAACATGTGCACAGGCAGGATATATTAAATGAATTTCCTTGAACAAACTGTTGAAATGAAAAGCGTTGCGAAAATTTCTCAAAGTGCAAAACGGAAAAGCGCAACAGCCGGGGGCGTTGACAGGGCGTTACGCAAATAGACAGACGGACGGACGGACGGATGGACGGACAGACAGCGAGTCCTGTAACAGGACGAGCAAACAGTTGGCCGCAGCAACAAGGACAACAACAACTGAGGACAACAACAACTGAGCACAAAGTAAAAGCAAAGTCGCTGTCGCGCTTCAAGCAAGATATATATATATATAAAAGGAAATAAGTGAGGGCATAAAAAACGCCTATGCCAGGCAGCTGAACCCTCGACAGCCCCCCGCACCCCCCCCCCCCCCCCCCCCCCACCCCCTCGCCGTGGCCCGAGCTTATCGAGTAAAACAGAGCCAAGACGATTATAAAGAGATGTTTGTCTGTCTGTCTGGGGCAAGAAGAAGCTGCCCGGCAACCTGGCCTCAGCTCTGATGAGCCGCTGATGACACTCATCACAATCACAATCACAATCACCAATACAAACACGATTATGATTACATTATAGTAATCGTTAGCATCAATGCGACGGCAGTTGTTCTTATCATCCTTATCCTTATCCTCTTGCCGTTCGAGCAGCTACAGATTGTCACTTCATCCTGGCCATTTGATAAGGAGATGTTTTTCTGTTGTTTGGGGCCAATTTGAACGTGAATTCAATATGAAAACGCAAAAGCATTTGCAAATATTGAAAATCTCATTTGGATTTGCGCACGAGGCAGCCTCTGATTAGGTCATTTCATGCACAGAATTTAGATAAGTTCAAGTATTTGCTTTGATTCGCGGCTAGAGGGTAACTCCAAGTCGGGCAGACTCTTTCCCGATCTCAAAACCCTATTTTGATAAGAGCTTGCAAGGGCTGACGAAACATTTTCTATTTGGGTTTGAACCAGCACCTTGGTGCGCTGACATCTTTTTCCAACACTATTAAGCAGTGTTGCGTAAGCTTGGCAGATTTAAGGCTTAGCTGCAAGGAAGACTGCAATCTTCATTATTATTTATATTTCTGATCAGGTTGGATATTGAGTTCGTCATTTTATTTGTTTTACTTTATTTATTGCTCAAACGCAAACACGAACGGCTTAAGCTAGAGGCTCAGACGCGGATTATGCGTCGACTTGAACTCTTTGACAATATTTGAACTTGACTTTCGGAACTGGAGTGTCCTTCAATGGGCCATAAATAACTGCAAACGGCTGCAAAGTGCCCAAAACGATTTGTTTGGCATTTAAGCCAAAGACTTTAGCCAACTCACGGGCCACGTTCCACAGAGAGTTTCATTAACGGGCCGCAAAAAAAATCGTTGCCTACTTTCGAGCGCTTCAGTTTTGTTATTAGAAAAGTGCAAAAAGAGGCTAGAAAAAAAAACTTTTCGAATTTCATTCAAGCACTTTGCATGGCGGATATGCGAACTTATTGATTGCGCTGGCAATTCCAGCAAAAAAAAAAAAAAAAAAAAATTGAGAAAAATAAAAAAATAAAGCTGCGAAAAAAAAATGAAAGAAAATCGCAGCACGCGGCGGTTTGAGCTCTCTGTGTTTGGCAGCGGAAGTTAAGCACAGAATGCCAATAGCTAAACAACAACAACAACAACAACGGCAACAAGTTAGTGTATGCCAGTCGAGCGTGCCCGACTAGGCAATACCCTGTGCCCAGCAGCCGCTGTGCTTAGGCCTGGTTAAAAACAAATGTCTTCAAAATTCATTCTTCAATAACTTGCAACACTCTCAGTATTTTTATAGGGTATCTCAAATGAGGTAGCTTATATATATTCAATATAGGGTATTTAGTAGAGAGTTTAGTATAGAATATTTAGTATAGAATATTTAGTATGAGGCATTTACTATGGGGTAGTTAATATGGGGTAGTTAATCGAGGGTATTTAATATGATATATTAAATATAGGGTATTTAATAGGGTATTCAATATATATCCCATTGCGTTGCGTCTAACTTTTATATATATATACATTTGCAATTCCTTTCTTATGGAAATTGTTACATTCATTAGCACAGCTGCAGTATACCCTTTACAACAATTTCTAATGATTACAGGGTATTTTGTGTGTGTGTGCTATGTCTGGTTGTCTGGCTTGCCGTAGCATATGGTGCGCTTTGTTCATGTTATTTTTTATACACTTTGCCAGAGTCGTGACTGGTCGACTTGTTGATACCCTGTAATGAGCAGGCAGCTTGGCCATGTGGCAAACACTGTCACCAGTCGAATATGCCCTCTTTACACTCTATAAAAAAAAACAACAATGGGCAAGCCAAAGTTTGTCTCGCGACAAACAACAGAACGTAATGCGGGAGGGGCGGGCGCTTGCGGCCTGTTAAAGCCAAGTTAGTTGGCCAGCACGGCCATGTCATCATCTACTGCCACTGCTGCAGCTACTGCTACTGCTACTGCTACTGCTGGCAGCGGGCAGTCAGGCGTGAGCCGGCAGTTCGGTTGGCCAATGCTTCCTTATTAAAAGTGCCAATAGAAAAGGACATGCGACTGCCGCCAGATGCGAGTGGACAGCTTTGTGGCAAGGCCAGTGTCTGCCACAGAACATTGCAAGAGAGAGAGAGAGACAGATAGAGAGAGAGAAAGAGAGAGAGAGAGAGAAAAGGGTAAGCAAGCTTATACACTGTTCCCCAGGCGACATAGAGCATATGGCTTTGTCAAGAGATAAATAAATAAATACTAGATAATAGCTATGTTATACATATGTACAGACCACGCCCACTAGGCGGCGCAAACTTTCTCTAAAGATGTTAACAAATCAAATCAAATGACAGTTTGACAGTTTGACAGTTACTGCCTTGCAGTTACAGTTTGACAGCTATTGAGAGTCAGCAAGCAGTTTAGTTAACAGCAAGTTAACAGTGTATCGCACGGTCGTTAACACTCGATCGGGCATGTGCTTGGCGATTTTAGTTTTGATTTTCCACTTGATGGAGTGCAAATAGCCGAGCATCTCGCTGTGCAACGTGGCGTATTATCAAATTATAAACGTTTCGTGTTGCAAATGCATTTTGAATGAGCTGCGCGCAGCGTCCCGTTAATTAGGTTGCATGCCTGTCAGCTGCACTGCCAAGCACTTTATCATGCGCTCAATATCTCTCTCTCTCTCTCCCTCTCTCTCTGTGTGTCTGTCTGTGTGTGTGTGTGTGTGTGTATGTGTGTGTGTTTCCTGTTACAAATTGAAAAACACGCGTCTTTTTTTGCGCAATTACACAAATTGTCCTCATGCATTTGGGGCATACATTATTTATATGCTCTCTCTCTCTCTCTCTCTCGCTCTCTCTCTCGCCCTCCCTCTCTCTCTCTTAACTATGCCCATTATATAATCAAGTTGAAAGACGTGCTTCAAACCACTTTTTGTCTGTTGCCCCTCCCCCTCTCTCCCCCTCTCTCCCCCTCTCTCTCCAAGTGGTCATTTGTCGCCAAGTTGAAATTGCTTTTAATAAAATACAATTTCTGTTTGCTTTTGGTTTGGCCCACATTCCAGGAATGTGCCCGAGCAGGCTCAAAATGAACATTATGTAGTCATTAAGTGCCATCAAAAGGCGCACACACACATACACACACACGCACACACACATACACTTGTTGACAAATCTCGTGGGCACACTGTAAATTTCAATAAACTCTTGGCTTAGAAACAAACGAAAAAGCTTAAAAGTGTGGCCATTAGATGAACACACACACACACACACATGCACATGTACATGTACACACACATACCTTCACACACGCGCTCACTCAAAATGTAAACTCTAGCAATGAGATGTTTGTGGCATTTTAATCAATGCCTGTTTAGGGCAAATGCGACCACAAAAGCGCTCAAGCAACAGCCTCTCTCTATGTGTGCGTGCGTGTGCGTGTGTTTTGTTTGAGATTTCAATGAAGCCATCGGCTGGGCGGCTAGGCAGCACTGCGCGGCCTGAGTGCGGCCAAGAGCCTGCCGACAAGTGCTGCCCAAAAAAGAACAAAAAAACTATTTAAGTAAGTGGAAATGGGCGCATTAGGGCGTGCACACATAAGAGACCCCACAGAGGGCGCTGCCTTCTGGGCCTGCCTGTGTGTGTGCGCGTGTATGTGTGTGGGCTGTGATTCTGTCTAGCATTTAAACGGTTGAGCGCGTCGCCCCATGGACAGGCTAAAGTGGGCGGGCCCTTGTTGAACCTTTTATGTGCTTTTAATTCGCATGCGAAAGAAAAGTAATAACAACAAAAAATAGTATGCTTAACTGTGAGCTGAACATTTTTGATTGTATTTTCAACATGTGCGCTTTTCCGTTTTCTGTTTTCCACTTTCCCTATCAATTTGCACTGTGCACTGCTTTTGTTTTTACGCGGCGTATGCGTAATATGCAAAAGGTGAGTCCCATTTGCAGCTGGCATATTCTACAGGGTATTTGGCTTCATTAATAAACCGAAGCCCTTTCGGG